TATACCATTGTTTAAAAAGTTCCTCAGAACTTTCAACCGAGAAAAATCAATGATTTTTCTTGATTTAAGTAAGAACAATAAGATCTTCGGATTGTCACGGGGTTTCTCTCGGGTCTCCTCAACGAACACCTCAGTAGATTGAAGCTGAGAAACAACGGCGAATGCAGATTCTGTGGGGAAAATGGGGAAACACCAGAACACCTTATCAATAAGTGCGCCAACAACCGTCCGTGCCATAAACTTTGGTAAGGCTGATGTCGAAGATGGAGAATTGGCTTCTGCTGAGCCGTCTCAGATACTGGCTTTTGTCAAAGCTCTGAGACTGTATTATGAGTTTTAACCCGTTTATAGCTCCCCGTTATAACCCCCCGTTATAGCTCAAGAAAGGGGAACACGCAATAGACCTGTAAGGTTGCGGTGGTTAATCCTCTCATTCTATCATTGTTTATGCCTGTGTCAATTAAGTAAGGTTTGACTAGGATATGTTTTAATATAGTTTTCACACACTATTTCCGCAAGTGCGGAATATGAAGGGGACGGTGATTGAAATTTCTTGGATCCTCTTTCTTGGAAGAGTCATCTTCATTAAAATTCTGACTTAATTTGAAAATTTGACAAACGCATTTATTTAGAGGTATTAAAAGTAGCGGGAAATCGCTTCATACCTTTGTTCCTTGTTGGCAGACCAACAAACAAATATTTCGGTTCCAACAATTTTACTATTCTTCATCTACACAGCTCTATTCACAACCATTCTTTAAAACCTAAAACCAAATATATAACTATATTCCTCGCCAAATCAAAATAGAGAAGTAAAAAAGCAAATACACACAGTTTTAAATCTAATCCCCTCGGTGTTCCCTTATCCAACTTCCAACCCCCGAAAAACTAATCTCTAACTCGATTCAATAGTACCACTGACTACGCAACCATATTTTGGCGTAGTCGACGCCCGAGGCTGTCCAGGTCAAAACGTCCGTATCGCCGCCGGTTGTTGACAGAAAAATCACTGCTCCAGCGTCGTTCCAAAGGAGAAGGGCCGACGTATATTGTGCAGTTGAAATGGTAATTTGTCGAGGAGCGCCCTATCGAGGCCGCCAGCTAGAAAGGGCGGAGGGTTAATAAAAAGCCAGGGATCCATTTTTAAGTGCTCAGTTTAGACGGGGATTATCTGTTGACGGGCTGGAGATAGATGCGAAATCGGCAGAGGCGTAGTTGAGAATGTGATTTATTTTATTAATAGAGTTATTTGGCTTAAACGATTGGGGTATTTTTTGTAGACAATGTTAGATACTTCTAAATTGAAGTCTTAGGTTGACTGCTGACCCGAGAATATCGGGCTCCAGTCCAAGACGGAACGAACGCTGCTTTATTTCTTTAAATAAAAATATTAGGTTAAGGGCAACCAGCTAGACTCCAGCTCAAAAAAGACAATAACAATCCACCATGAGTATGTATTGGCTTAGTACAACCTCCCAAATACTGCCTTTCAGATAAAATCGGATCGGCCATACGTATACACGTGAAAAACTTATGACACACTTTAAAAACACTAAAGTTATCAATGTTTTACATCAAATATAATTTGAGAATGTAGATAGTCCCTATTATATTTTATTGTCATTTACTTAAGAGTGGCCCATACAGCACGTTCAAATGAAATTACGTTTCTACGAGGGAGACACATGAGAAACAAAATATGTTAAAGTGAACCTAAGTGTTCATCTAGTTCTAACATATACATATGAGATACACACAGGTTTATATTGATAGAATTGTGTGATACAATGTTTACTAGTTGTATACCGTATGCACTCAAGATTCTAAAGAGTTTTTTGTAACGTAACAAATAATTATTAAAATTATGAAATCTGACGTCGGTAGGTATATGAGACATACAATGTATAAGTCATATGTATGTGTGATACTTCGTATCATATATATATATATATATATACACCTTGTAAAAATGTGACATATATATATATAAATATATATATATATATATATATATATATATATATATATATATATATATATATATATATATATATATATATATATATATATATATATATATATATATATATATATATATATATATATATATATAGATATATTATGTAATAGTGTACTGTTGTGTCTACATTCTAGCATGAAATGAAGGTGTGCGCACGCGCGGATAGTCTCAGCGTAGATACACCGACCAAGTGTATCTTATGTGTCCTCATGTTGTCCTCTCTCCTTTCTCCTTTCTAGGAGTGTTATGTTTTAGCAGCCATTATTGTTTTATCATTCGGAAGCTCTATATAAATGTTCTGATTGTGTGTAGTTTAAAAGAGATTTTAAGGTAAGCACAAGTTTTTAATTACCTTGTTACACCTTCCTAAGTGTATTATTAATATTATAGCAGCGACTCTTCTCTTACTCGATACCCAATTTACCAAATTTTGACTTGATGAATGAAAACTCCAAATATTCTCGTATAATGATAAAGAGGTTAGCTCTGCAATATATTTTTTTTTAATTTCGAAATAATAAAAATCTAAATGAACCAGAGATAGAAAGATTTAAACACTTCACAAAACTTCTTACACTGATATTCGGTAAGCTATTGATGGATCAATATACAAATATGTTTAATATTCAATAATCACCCAAGTAGCATCTATCTGACTTCGAACTAAATCTGACCTGAAGCGACGTCAGACTTTGTGCAAATTTAGGTCAGGTGCTGGTGATACGACCGGTGACGTCGCTTTCCTATTAAAAGCGACGTCGTTGGATCCGAGTCGGTAAATCCAACGATCTGTCGACGTACAAAATAACAACGTACCATTTTTATTAATTTCCCAACGTCGTTCCCACGTTGGCTTGCACGACGTACATATACTTGATCTAGCCCGACGTCTACCCGTTGTCCGGATAAGATACGTCTCACTGATAGTCCCTAAAGTAACGTCCAATTATATTTAGTTGTATTTTATGTCCATATTTATAACCTAATTTACGTATCTCTATATACATATCTCTATTTACGTCCGTAAATACAACGCATTAAGTAGCATTTGCGACCTAATGAACATCATGAATATAACCTAATAAAAAGTTTTTGTAAACATACTTAATTTTTTTCTATGCCTAAAAAAACACTAAAAAGGCATTTAGACATTCATCTACATTTTACAGAAAGAGGTCGATGCTTTTGCAAAATAATAATAGTAGTAGTGATGTCTTGCCTCCACCCATAAATGCTTTTTATCCGCAAGAGATGCTGCATTACACTGGTGCATCTTAATTTCATTTTTTAGCTTAGGAAACCAGCAGCCCCATCCTCCTCCCACATGTGAGGTTAGGCTTAGTGGCTGCCCATTTTTTTTAAGGAGAAAACAAAAACTAAAATATAGTTGCACAAATCCACAAATCACTGATACGCAAAGTGAGGTTACGTGGCGTACGTTGGAATTATATACGTCATAATACGATTGCCGGTCGTCCGGTTTGATGACTTCGGTCGTGTGAGACGACTAATGTTGGAGACCCGGTCGGAATTGGTATATTGGTAGTTCATATTAAGTCGGACACAGAAATCCGCCATTCTTAACAAGTATCAGATTGTCAGCCATTTTAAAATCGTTTTTTGTTTTTAAAATTTATATTCACATTTCGATTTCTAGTAGAATAATATTGATAAGGTTGGTATCGATACCGGTGTTTATCTCGACACCGGTGTTCATCGCGATACCGGTGTTAAGATAAACATCGGTGTTGAGATAAACACCTGTGTTTTAGATGAACACCGGTGGCGGTGTTGAAATAAACATCAGTGTCGGTGTTGACACCGGTACATCGACTGAAACACCGGTGGTCATCAACACCTAACACCGGTGTTCAAATTTCAACACCGAACAGGTCTACCCTGGAGATTAAGTTGCAATCATTTCTAAACATGTTAAAAAATATTAATTATTATTTTTAATTATTAAAGAACGCCACTGGTGGAGTATTTTAAAAAGTTTATCTGGTGCGGTTTAACACACTGTAACTTTAAAATTCAATTGTGTTAAATATTCTAGTGTAAAATATTTTTTTCTTAGTGTTTCAAAATGGATGACAAAGATCTTTTTGTTAATTATTAAGAAAACACATACCTACAACAGCCGCCCATAGCCAAACTTACAATAGTATATGCAGGGTGTCCCAGGCTGAGCGTGCATTACAAGTTTCTGGAGAACCACAATAACTAGATCGGAAATTTTTTGCACATCATTGTTTTACAACAAAATCTATCGATTAAAAATATTTTCAATATGGCGGCACTTTCGGAAATACCGGTTATTTTAAATAGGTGCCCCCATTTTTTATTACATACTCAAGTTTTCTGTAATATTTTATGAATATTGATGTTAAACACTCTATACCTAACATCGAGCCTAACATTAATCGTTTTTGAGAAAAAAAATATTTTAAATTTTTGGACGAAAAAAACTACCTGTCAAAAAACGATTAATGTTAGGTATAGAGTGTTTAATATCAAAATTCATAAAATTTTACAGAGAATTTAAGTATGTACTAAAAAATGAAAGCACCCCTTTAAAATAAGAAAGTTGCTGTCAACTTCCGGTATTTCCGGAAGTGCCGCCATATTGGAAATATTTTTAATCGATAGATCTGGTTGTAAAACAATGATGTGCAAAAAATATCCGATCTAGATATTCAGTTCTCTAGAAACTTTTAATGCACGCTCAGCCTGGGACACCCTGTATCTGCTTCTACCTGTATATGTAGTATAAAAAAGAAACCTGTATATGTAGTATCTTTATAGCTTAAAGAAATCTTAACATGAACAAAGTGCTAGAATCACCATAAATTTCCGTATTTTTAAAAGCTTCTTAATTATTTTTTTCTCTAATAATTAATGATGCAGATCCATTGAAACGTTTCCATAATTTACTACATAGACGATATAATATCTAAACAGTCAAATTAGCAAACCAATTGATGTACATGTTTACTTTTAACGTTACATATACATCTTATAACGGTTCAGCTTAGTTTAAAGTACGGCAGTCTTAACCCAGATTATCTCACCAAAAGACGATGAAGCTAATCAGCATGGCTATGTCAAACGTTTCGCGACTGTTTCTATTAATGTCATTAGGTTTTCTGTTGGAGTGTAGTTTTATCGGTATCAGGAACGTGCAGTAAGTAACATAATTATTAATCTAGGTATCTAGGTAATCAGTTAAATTTTCATTGAAAAAAAACAATTGAACATAGTTTTTAATCTAGATTATATTGTTGTATCTATCACCATCTACAATATATTGTCGGGTAGAAACAGTTACTTATCAATATAGAATAAACAAAACGTTTTTGAACACAAAGTCTTTGATTAATTACATTATATTAAAATTAATTTGTGCTAAAACGAAATAAAAAAACTTAACTGATTTAAACGAACCACCCTATATATTATTGTATTTTAAAGTTTACATTTACAAATTCTCTAATTTTATATTTTATAAAAATCGTTGGTGCTTCATGTTTTATATTTTCATAAGGGTTTATTTTATATTATTTACAACATTATGTTATTTCAAAATGCTCATAAATTCGCCATAAAAATTAGATACAAAAAATATATCAAATTCGATTTTTTAAAATTAAAAAAAAAATGTTTTGTATAATATTATGGGATGCTATGGTTAGTTATCCATATATACCGTATGATTAAAAAAACGGCGTCAAAATGTTTTGATTTGGTGTTTTCCTACAAAGATATTTGGTTGTTTGCCATATACAGAGTGTCCCAGAAATAAGTGCAAGTATTTTAAGAGGTACTAGATATCGATAAAAGAAACATATTTTCTCGTCATCGTTTTTCAAATAAGTCGAAAATAACGGAGTTATTTTACCTTAAAAATTTCCAAAAAAATGATTTTTTGCTAAAATTTCGAGAACCACTGGATCTTTTCTGGATTTTCTTTCTTGTAAATTTAATCTACTACCTATGTTGCCATATTATTAAGAAATTATGCTTTTTAACTAAAAACTAAAAACATTTCCAAAATTTTTTTCAAAAAATTCCTAATTTTCAAAATTTCTTTTCGCAAAAAAAATCTCATAGGCGTGTTTCTGAGACCGAAATATACTACCAGTTAAAATACTTGCACTTATTTCTGCGACACCCTGTATAGAATATTCAAACAGCTATTTCACTTATACAGGGTGAGTCTTAAATAAGTGCAAATACTTTTAGAGGTAGTACATTTCGACCCAGGTGCCCGGTGGCGTAGAGGTACAAGCTCTCGTCTACCAATCTCAAGGTGTGGGTTCGATTCCCACACCCGGCATTTCATGAGCCGACTATTTTTATTAAAATAAAAATAGTTTGGGTACCTAGGTCGACTCAGCCTTAAATGAGTACTTGGGATTCACAATCCTGAGGTAATAATAGGCGGTTGAAGCGTAGTGCTAGCCACATTACCTTCCTTGTATACCGAACGGCTCTAGTATAGCAAGCTGTACCTTGCTACTCCCAAGGCGTCAAACGCTATATACGGGAGCTATTATTATTATATTTCGGCCCCAGAAACACGTCTAAAGTAAAGTAAAGTAAAGTTTTCAGTTAACGCCTCCTTTTTGCTGCCAGGGCTAATCTGGACGGGGCCTACTTTGGCCATATCATGGTCAACGGCCACATCATGGTCAATGGCCTACCGACTTGGCTAGTGTCTAAATCGACTCTTAGAAGATATGCCGTTGCCCGAAACACGTCTATAAGTTTTTTTCGTGAACAAAATATTTTGAAAATTATGATTTTTTTAGTTTTTAGTTAAAAAACATCATTTCTTCATAATATGGCAACTTAAGGAGTAGATTAAATTTATAAGAAAGAAAATCCAGAAAAGATCCATTTGGTTCTCAAAAATTAAGCAAAAAATATATTTTTTAAATTTTCAAAATGAAATATCTGGGTTATTTTGGACTTTTTTTTGGATTTGAAAAACGGTAAAGAGAAAATGTGTTTCTCTTAATGATCTATCAGCCCTTAAAATACACTTATTTAAGAATCATCTTGTATATTCACGCAATATTTTATCATATTTTTTTGTTCTCCATTTTTTATAAATTAATGTAGCAACCTACCTCTTGCCTCTACAGATTTTTTCTCTAGATAGAGGACAATAAAAACAAGAAAAACATGCTATTCGTTATTTATAGTAGGTACCGTTAGAGCAATACATAAAATAAATTTGTGTTGAAAATAACTTTAATATGAAAAATACGAATTAAACTTTTTTTTGATTTATAAAACAAATTAAAACCTTAACCCAGATGTGATATACTCGTACTATAATAATACATGTGCTAGTTTCCAAAGATCCCGAAATAATAAATTACTAAAATCATCTAAACCTTTATACTTGTAGTGTAAATAATTTCTTAATTTAATGAGAATAACTAAATATTTTCTCACAGTATTTTTAAATCTAAATAATTAGCAGAGGCTGACGATACAGCTTATAATAATAAACAACCTAGTAATTTGGCTGAAAATACAGATGTAGGAGTACAGCAATTTTTTACATTGTTTTATTTATTTAAAATTTAATACGATTTTCAAGAAAAACTATTTTTTTTCGCCCTAAATTTGAATTTTATTAGCTATTTTCATTGTCAAATATCATTTTCATTATCAATTATCATGATAAAGCATTAATTATAGACATTTATAGATATTCTTATAATTTAGACATTTTTAATAGGCAATGATAAACTCAACCAAACCAAAAACTAATAAAATTCAATGTTCAAGCTGCAAGTAGGTATGTTAGATAAAATGCCAAAACGTTTTCAATACAGTATGTCCCCAGATTGTTTTTACAAGAGGAAAAACCTTTTTGTTATTGACATTCTGAGAAAAATGCATTTTTCATAAAAAATGTTTTTATGATTTTTTTTAAAAATATATATCCTCTTATTCATTCTGCATTAATATCTTTATATGTTTATACAATACCTTTAAAAGTTATTTTTGATTCTAGTGCTACTGGCCCACAATATTCAGCAGATAATTGGGTTTGCAGAAACGAAACAGGATGCACTCAACTTGGAGAAGACGTTCAACATCAGAATGGCGAAAAAATTATGTCCAACGAAACATGTTACATGCTCTGTCCAAAAGAGCCCTCTCTTTGGCCCAAACCAATTTTCGTAGAAGTGCAGGACAAAAATTTCTCTGCTTTCCAAAAACAACACATCTTTTTAAAAGTATTATCTCCGACTAACAAAACCAGGAAAATGGCTGAGAGAGCAGCTAACCTGTTTATAAACAATTTAACAGGTTCTTCGAAATATAACAGAATATTTGAAGAAGAAACTGAGGAAGTTGTTAAAATACATGTACACATCAAAAATAATGACACGAAACTGACCTCTTCCACAAACGAGAGTTACATTTTGACAGTAGGTTACCAAAAAAATGAGGTAAGAGTAAAAATCACGGCTCCAACATATTTCGGTGTCAGACACGGTTTGGAAACATTGAGTCAGTTAATTTGGTACGATGCTCAAACAGATAGACTCAGAATAATGCACGAAATCAGAATAATCGACGAACCTAAATTTCCACATAGGGGAATCATGATAGACGTTGCTAGAAATTTTATTCCCATCTGGTACTTAAAAAGAGTGATTGATGGAATGGCAATAAACAAATTAAACGTGTTGCATCTTCACGCATCAGACTCAGAAAGTTTTCCTTTAGTATTGCCCAATAATCCCGACTTTGCAAAAAATGGGGCATACGACAAGGCAATGACATATTCAACTCGTGATACAAAAGATCTTATTGCCTATGCTAATATAAGAGGTGTCAGGGTAATTTTGGAAGTTGATGCTCCAAGTCATGTAACTCCAAACGCATGGCCTAACGGTCAAACAATGTGCGGAAAAGAAAGTGTGTTTAGAGCTACTCTAAATCCAGATGACTCCAACGTTTTTGGAACGTTACAAAGTGTTTATAGGGATCTTTTAAGTCTAGGGTCTGATGGGGATTCGTTCCATATCGGAGGCGATGAAGTAGTTCTTGATTGCTGGAAGCAAAGCAAATCAGGTAAAACCCTTTCCGATCTGTATTACCTCTGGGTGAATTTTACTAACCAAATGGTGGAACAGTTAAAATCTGCCAACGGAGGAAACCTAACATCTGATGTGATATTATGGTCCAGTCCTTTAACAGACCGATTTATAACTTATCTAAAAAATAAACCCAACCTAGTTGTACAGTACTGGTTCGGAAAATTCGACCACATCTTCCAAAATAACTTAAGAATAATATTCTCGACAGTTGGATATTGGTATCTGGACTGTGGATATGGTCCATGGAAGAAGAACCAAGTCCTTGGTGCTTGTGATCCTTACACGCACTGGATGAAAGTGTACAGATACAGACCTTGGGAACAGTATGTGAACAGACTGAATCAAGTGATGGGTGGGGAGGTGTGTTTGTGGACGGAACAGGTGGCCGCTGAAGATGTGGAGACCAGGATATGGCCTAGAGCTGCGGCTTTTGCGGAGAGGATCTGGAGTGATCCAGGGTGGGAAGATAGAGAGAGAAATAGGTTGTACGCTAGGTTTAACAGACATATAATCCGTATGAGACGAAGAGGGATATCTGTAGCTGCCATCTGGCCAATATATTGTTCGTATTATCCAGATAAATGTTAAACAGAATTTTATTTTAATTAATTTTAATTTATGTGTAATATCCAGTGAATAAAAAGACTAATGGTGTTATGTTTCCTCCTCATTGTTGTCAATAATTATTTAAGTTACGTGTGCTTTTTTAAAAATGAGATGTTATTTGTAACTTGTTAAAAATATTACATGGAGTCTAGTTATATGTACACATTTTCTTTCCAGTATTAAAAATAATAATTTAAATTAATTAAAAATAAAGCAGTGCATTCTCTCAAACAAGTAATTTCTTGTTAAATACTATACGATAAAAAAAGCACCACTGTACCAGTGTTCTTTGATATGACCACATCAGATCAGTAGATTATCCACCTCCTCCTCTTGGCTGCCAATGACGTCGAACAAAAATTACAAAGAACAAGTAAAAACAACTAATAAACAGAAATACAAAAAAAACTGAAAAAAACACTTGTATTCATTTTCTTTTTCACGCTATTTTTTTCATTATTAGTGCTTTGTTTTCTGCGTTTATCGGTTTCTTCTTATTTTTTTCTGTTTATTTTTTTATTACTGGATTTTTGCAGTATAGATACCTATTGCATATATGCATAGATACCTATTTAAGTATTTTTAGAAATACTTTTTCATTATTGATTTTTCTCTAATATCTACAGAAGACGTGGTAAATGATAATTAAATTTTATTTTAATGGCCATTTTGAGGCCGATTTTCTTGTTCTTGTATGTTAATTTTAGAACTTATCAAGACGTTTATTTATTAATACAGGAGAAAATTGTTCAAATAAAAATAAATACACTCGTATGCAAAAAAACGCAACGGAAAAAATTTTCGTCAAATTTAAAGTAATGTATACAGGGTGGCGCACCTCATTCGCCTCGGTTGATTATACGAAAACGGAAAGATGTAGAAACAAAATATATCGATTTTGAAAATAGCTACTAACTGTCACTAGAAACTTGCCATGACAAAACTAGCCATCTTGATTACAATTTTATTGAAAAATCTCTTTTTATTCAAAATCTGAGCCAGATAGGCAAACCCTAATATAGTTTGAAAGAGCATTTAAATCTGCCTTGACTTATTTAAAAATATACGTAGTGTTGCATTTGAAATAACGAAGCTTTTATTTAAAATAAATATTTAAAAGACCAGCAATTTTTGATATCCCTGTACACATTTAAGGAAGGAATAACATTTTTCTGTAAAGTTTATTTCTCTACCTTTAAACTCAGCACAAGAACTAATGATGAAAAGTAATGTGCAGGGTGTTAATAATCTATTCTATTGTAGCATGCAAATTTAAATATCATCAAATATCTCAAAAACCAAAGATTTTAAACATATTTAACCCTTATAATAAATAGCTTTTTTGGGTTCAAGAATCCAAAAATGAAATAAAATACCGGGTGTTCCATAAGAAAAAATATAACTTTGGTATGGATCTTAGTTCTGAAACACCCTGTACATTTCAAAATAATTTTAAATTGTGCCACATTACCTCCCCACATATACCCATAAAATATTTTGTTTCTACATCTTTCCGTTTTCGTATAATCAACCGAGGCGAATGAGGTGCGCCACCCTGTATATATGTTTTTTATTTTTAGCTGTATTTTCATGATTTTTTTAGCAAACTGTATAAACTCAGTCCTTTATAAATTTTAGTCTTTGGCTTATTAACATATACGGGGTTAATCGAAGGGTTGTTTTTTACCGTAAACTTAAAGCACTCTGTGTATTTTCGGTAATTATTTCCAAATACAGGGTGTCCCAATATTCCGTGGACGTAGAACTACTAGGTAGTTTCGGAATTAAAATAAGTTTATTGGACGCAGTTTACCTATACAGGTTGTTAACTGCACAGTTACTTATAGGGGAACAAAATGGCAACACTGCCTATTGAGAACGCATGCACTTATAAGGTTTTCTGCCGACTCGTCCCGTCGTGTCGCGTCGTCGCCGTCGTCTATCGACGAGCTGGCCGAGGTTGTCATATTTCAACCATAAAGCTTGCCGCGAGTAATAAACAAATTAACAACCTGTATGTATATAAAAGTGTGTGTAACAAATTAACACAGTTTTTAAGATATTTTAAGAATCCATATTCCGATTTGAATGAAATTTGGGGAGCTTATGTTTTATTTTTAAATCATAAAAAACAAGAAAATTCTGGAAGGGTAAAAGCTACCCACACCTCTACATACATTTTAGTAGAAATAGTATACTCCACTGACAACTGATTTTTTTTCGATAAATGGTCCTCCTAATATTTACTACATGTTTTCTCTTTTGTAAAAAAAACGCCTCATTTCATAGTTTTTGACAAAAAAAATATTTTTGTCATTTTCCCAAAGGAGATCCAAAAAATGACACAGAGGCGGATGGAGAGATCTATGATTGGCCTGACTTTGAGATATCGAGTAAGAAATGAAGAGATACGCCGACTTACGGGAGTGGATGACATTATTCAGCGAATCGCAAAACAAAAGTGGAGATGAGCTGGACACATTGCTAGAATGGCAGACGGGAGATGGACCAAAAGACTTATAGAGTGGAGACCAAGAGCCGACAAGCGTAGCCAAGGCAGACCTCCCGCCCGATGGACCGACGACCTGAAACGAATAACAACTAACTGGATTGCAACAGCTAAAAACCGCGAGAACTGGAGACGTTTGGAGTAGGCCTATGTTCAACTATGGACGTGAAAGGGGGCTGCATGATGATGATGATGATATAGAACATATATACATGGCTATGGAAATGCATAGTTTTAGAGTTACAGGATGTTAAAATTTTTTATAATTATGTTTTTTTGTAATTGTCTTAAATACCATTATTTTTTATTTAAAATTGCTGTATGCTGGACTAATAGTAATAATATTCAATAATATATTATGTAAAATATATGATTTATTAATTTTATTTTAATTTTAATTTTATTAAATGTGATTAATAAAATAGCGTTTATCTCATCAAAAAGGCAGAATTCGACAAAATATCAAGAGATAGCTTTTAATTGGCATTAAATGGCCTACTGAATTTTGATATCAAAAGAAAAAACGTCAGTAGCACACATGTTTTTTTTTTAAGTTCCAGTGAAAACCCATATGCACGTCCCTGGTGAATTTATCTCCACTTTTTTAGCATTAAAATATAAAGCACTTGTGGTAACTTTTACCCTCAAAATTTCATTCAACTCACTAAAAGTACTTGGAAGAAAATTATAATAAATCTAAAGAATATTAAGACTTTAACACCCTGTAGCTAGGAAACAAAGTAGAATCGGCCCAATGTTGATATTATGAAAAATAAATCATATTTTTACCTGAGGAATCTCCCCACGAGAGATGGCACATGTTTTTTGAAACACCCTGTATATACAACGTATAACAGCCTATCAATGTAACTATGGTTATTATTTATTTAATATTAATTGTCATTTAATTGTCAAGTTTCGATAGCCTAAAAAATGGCACCTATTCAAAGAGTCGTAGCTGTTCCGGTAGATAAAATAGAGGCTAAATCCTATTCTGAAGTCCCCGTACGAAACATTGCCGATCAAAGCAGTTTGTTGTATAGATTAAATAATATTCCATTTTTATTATTCTGGATTATTGTAATGCTTCTGTTTAAAACATTGTCACTTGTCATTGCAAATACCTATTTAAGTATTTTTAGACTTATATGTGAAGCACGTAGATTGGAATAAATACATTTTTTTTGAATAAAATGGATGTGTCTTGTAAGAAAATTTACTTTACTTGATAACATTAAGGTAATTTTCAAGAATTGTTCATAAAATTTATAAATATTAGACTAGTAGATGTTTGGTAAATATACGTTTTTCAGATCTTTCAAGTTATGAATTTAAAGTTGGACCTTGGAGTGAAAATATAATTTATACCAACAGAAAGAGTTTGACTACTAAAATTTAAATAAGATCCCAAAAATAGGGATGTGTAAAGAGATACTGTGATTTCCGAAAATCTTTGCTTTTTCCAATGAGCTTATTTGTGGAAACCTCCACTTTATGTTGTGGTGCTTAGATCACACATATTCTACAATATCTGACTTCATTGTTCCACTTCTATTCATTTCCAATTTAGAGGATGTTTTGTTTCTCCGTTAACGATTCACAGCATTCACAAAATACCTACCGTAAACTGAGGTATCGATATATAACATAATATCGTATGATCCAATAAAACAGCGTCAAAGACTGTTGAGAAATGACAATCGATAATAATATTGGCGAAGTCGCGAAATTAGCACTACTTATAGAAAGATTAAAAGCATACAACGTTTCCAGACCCACAAATATACAGGGTTGTTCACCACCTACGACACGGAGTAGGTATTGTAGCTAAACGATTAGATTTTTGGAAATTGTAAGTTTTGGGTTCGTGTCCCAAATAAATAAAAAATATGTTATAAGTTATGTTTATTTAAATGCAACAACCTGTATATTATTATACTTTTAGTTTCTACGATTAAAATAAAGGTAAAATTGATTAAGGTTTATCGCATTTTAATCTTACCGTTTTTGAAATATTTAGATTTCTGTTAAATACAGTAATAATTTTAATGCTTCATTTCTCTAGGCGTGTTTAAGTTTTAAAAACCAAATATTGTACTGAAGTATTTCTTTTTTACTAAATTTTGTGTTGAAATAATAAAAATTGTACTACCTACCCTATACAGCGCGTCTTAAAATTTTAAATAATTACTAGCTTTAAACGGCAATAACTTGTTTATTGTAAATAGAACACCCTGTATATTTTATGAAAATCAGATGCAGAATTTAATTGTCTGTCAAATTGTATTTCAACATTTTTTACCACACTTTTATATGTCTTCAGGTTTTCGTAGAAAGTGCATTTTCTTATAATTTACACCTCAATTATCAATAGACCCATGGAATATTGATATTTTTGATTATTTTTAAAGATGTAACAAATTTTTAAAGGGTACAGATTCTAATATTGTCGATATAGTTCATTTATGTCACTAAATATAAAGAAATTGTTTAAGTATTTGTAAAAGAGGACCAATTAATAAGATTCTAGTATTCAAACTACATTAATTGATTGTTTACGTTGATTAATAGTAATTGCTCTAAATACTAAAAAACTTAATTTTGTATGTATATTAGACAGTGTGGTAAAAAGAAACACCTTAAAAATGTTATTTCTTTTTTTGTCGGATGCTTATTTATAACAACAGAGACGTTCATTTTCATAACTATTATATTGATTTCTAAT